TAGCGGAAACAGAAAGTCTTTTAAAAAGTTTGACCTGAATATCTAACGGGTAAGTTCTAGGCGTCCTACCGCGCGTACCCCGTTTTGTGCTACAGCGATCGAGCAAACACCCTCGGCCGACCTACCTTTACAAAAACATGTAAAAACCTTCGCATGTGGGCCGATAGCTCAGCAGGGATACGCCTACCTAAGGGTGGTGACAACCCCTTGGGTAGAGGTAAGTTGTACCTCGCGCCGTCCCGACCTGTCGCAGGGCGTCGTGAGAGGTATAGCACGTGCGCACGGTCGGAGTGGTGACCTGGTTGTTCTCTCATAAATAAATCCTGCGTGACACGACCGTGAGGTTCAGCGCTCCCAGCGGGCTGCGGGACCGCCGCGCGCGACACTGTTCAACACTGTCGGAGCAAACACCCTTACAAGGGTATTTGCTCGTGTTTTTGCATACGATACATAGTCGACGCCAGTTGTCGTGACAGGGACCGGGAGATTGTTTTAAAGCCGTACCGGGAGATGGATTCCTTGACCGTCGAGGTCGAGGTCGTTAAGTGACCACGAGAGTTAACGCGGTACACACGACAAAAAATAATGGTTAGTAAAAGTTACAAGCCATCGGCCGCAAGGACCGAGAAAGGAGTCCCGCAGGATGCGACAACAACACATTGAGTTAGTTAGAAGATTCTGGCTAAAGTAACTAGATAACGCCATAGACTCGAAGGTGGATTTAAAAATTGATATATGCCCAGACCCTATGACCAGGGCAGCCAAGAGGACTATGCTGCCTACCATAATTGGCGGCGACAGTCAATACCGTGACCGACCTAGATTGACCCTAGAGAGCAGGCATTGGGCCTGTTACATAGGGCAGAACCAAACCTGTACTCTACTTAAAGCAAGGCTGCTTTAATTGAACTAGGAGCTAGCCTAGTAGGTATAGGTGTGGATTTGTATACTGAAGGTATAAAGATCAAGTCCATCCTGCCCTTTGGGCGAGCTCTTTCTTTCTTTTTGGGGAAAGAAAGAAGTAAGATCCCGCTCGTTTGGACTCCGCCGCAAATCGGTCGGAGCTTGAACCTACGACTTGTAAGATAGAGGAAGTTAGGCACTAAGACTTAGGCTCTTTCCCCGTGGTAGGAGCCCGACAGGTTTGAATTTTGTTTTCTTTCCTTTACATAATCATTTTTGAATTTTTCTTAACTACGGCGGGGAACCCCGTAGCGGCCACATCCGTGCTCAAGCCTTCAAGGAGGGAACATGCGGGAGCTGCACCCACCAGCAGGTGGGCGATACCAGCCTGGGGTCAGCCGGTAGCATCAGGACCGAGCTTTTTCGATGGGCCGGTCACTGTGCCTCCCCTCTGGTCCCCTTCCTCTATGAGCATCAGCAGTCTCTGCTCAACACCACTTGGGGGGACCAATACCATATCTCTAGGTGGCAGTCGCCAACTTGCCCAGGAAGGTACATGAGGCCAATGGGGATTGGGCCCAAGACAGCCTGAATGCCACTTGTGTGCCTTACCAACTGAGCTAGGCCGCTGGATACCCGCCATGTTTTCCGTCTTTTCAGGTTTGGCAGGAGCGCGCCCACGGCCAATTCCGACGGTTCAGTCTCTGTTCTATTCCCTCCTGTCTCCACGCACGCACACGCCTCTTTTGGAGGTTTTCCCGCTGTCCCTTCCCTGCACATGCCTCATATTTTGCGTGATGTTTGTGCCGAACAAGACAAGAGAAGGGGGAAATGAAAAAAAGCCGGAAAAGAAAAAGAGAAGGGGCAGCTGTGCAATGGGCGCCCGCGCCCCAGACGGGTCTTGCAGGCGGCTGGCCGGGCACGGAGGCCTGCCTAGCTTCCCGCCCGCTAACACCGCCCGGCCGCGGTCGTGCTTTGGCATCAAGTTTTTTTGGTGGTGGTGGGGGGGGGGGGGGGGGGGGAGAATTTTCCGTTTCAGGAGGGGGGGCAAGTCCCATTGAGATTCCCCAATGTCCAAATCTGGACGTGTTTCTGGAGACGTGCAGTTGAGCAAACTCAGTGCCATTTTCTGCATTTGGACACCAAACACATCCAGATTCAGGCGACTCAACGCCGCTATGCAGTATGGGACCTGGCGCCGGAAAAGCAAAATGTTTGGCGGGAGTGTGGCACTACCAAGTCCTGGGTCCGACTGGGGTGCCGTCTTCATTTGTGGCCGTCGATCTCTACGATCTGAATCTATCTATGGCAAAAAACCGAAAAAAAACGCGCCCCAGTGAGTGGGACAGAGCCCGGGGTGTTGTGCTACACTTCACTAACCCCAACCCCCGCTCAAATGTTAGTTAGGAATTAGGAAGGGAAATAGGCGGGGGGGCAAGGTCCCACTTGCGCAAATTAGGAGATTTGGGCCGTTGATCTGTGCGATCTACGGTCAGTATCTCTTAATTCGTGTAAGTGGGACCTAGCCCCGGGTGTGCTGTCGAGCCCGCCCGCTGTGATACTTGGAATCGAAATCGAAATCGCAATCGCGGCTGACTGACTGACTGACCTGCTGGTGAGTGAGGTCCGGCGGTGTTTCCGCTCCGACATGCTGGGCTGGTTTAAGCGCGACGAACGCGCTGAGGGGGGCCATCGACGCGCGGGTGGGGCATCGATCAGGCGTCGAAGCGAGGAGAGGAGCAGAGGAGCGGAGGAGCGGGAAAGGGAGGATCAGAGAGGGAGAGAGAGAGAGAATCAGGAAGACCGAGCTTGAAGGGTGGGAGAAGGCGCGGGGCGAAAGATTCGACACTCAGACGAGGAAGAAACGCGGGAGTGAAGAAAGAGGGTGGAAGGAGAGGGGAGCGGGGTGTTGCAGGAAAGGAGGAAAGAAACAGCGAGGTGAAGGTGGGAGAGGGTGGTGGATGGGTGGGTGATGAGAGAAAGAGAGAAAGAGAGCGAGTTCATCAAATGAAGCGTGTGCTCGGCAAAGTCCTGACGCTCTTCTTGACCTGGCCATGCTGATGATTAACGTCACAATCGATTGATTGTACATGGTGCAGAGCTTCCTCTCGCTTTGCTCGATGCGATAGCACGGAGCATCACGACGGACAGGTCTGGTGCTGTCCCTCCTCTCCTCTTCGTCCTTCGACATGGTGGAGGCTGTGCGCTAAATGGCACGGTATGTATCCAGTGGCCTCTTTTACCCCCAGGTTTCAGACAGGAAGGGAAGTCTCAGACTCTGAGGGTACTCCTAGGAAGGTCCGTCCATTTAGCGGATAGAAGGGGCAGGGTCGAGTCTCAGAGCTCTTTGTAGATCTAGAGTGAACAGCTGAGCGTTGGAGATCGGACGAAGAAAGGGTGAGGTGAAAGAACCTGAAGAGAGAGAGAGAGAGAGAGAGAGAGAGAGAGAGAGAGAGAGAGAGAGAGAGAGAGAGAGAGAGAGAGAGAGAGAGAGAGGTTGTTACCAGCGAAGGAATTGAGTGACAGCTTAATATCGGGAGAGAATGATGAGTGCGGCATGTTTGACAATCTTTCTTGGCATGGTGAATTTTGACCGCCGATGAAGCTCGAGGGAGCCGATCCCTTGGAAGAACGATGAGGAAGAGAATCGACGGGTACGAATACATCATCGTTTCTGCCTGCTAACCGTAGCGCCATAGCTGCGGAAGTAACAGCCGTAGTGAGGTTAGCATGTACTGGTAGCCACCAAAGACCGGTGGAGCTATACTGCCCAGTACAAAGGCGAAGAATTCTGAGAGATTTCCTGGAGATCGCGCCGGGTGCCACATTGCACCGCAAGAATACACACACACACACACACACAAAGACGCGGAGAGAGAGAGAGAGAGAGAGAGAGAGAGAGAGAGAGAGAGAGAGAGAGAGAGAGAGAGAGAGAGAGAGAGGATTTTGACTTGGAATCGAAGGTTGATATCAAACGCAATTGGGTGGCCTGGATCGTAGCGAGCTGATGGTAAAGATTGCCAATTACAGTAATTATATCTCTGATGGTAAAGATAGCCAATTAATTTCTTGGGGGTCAGGGGAACTGTGACGACGTCATGACACGGATTGCGATTACTTGCAGTAGAATAATTGTTGATTGTCAAGCGAGTTGCCGGTGATTTTCTATCCTCTGGGTGCTTGCACGGCGTGGAAGTTGTGACCGGTATCTATCTTTCCCCCAGAGGCTGAGTTAAGCAAAGAAGACCGTAGTACCGTGCATTTTGTCGACTGCCGTGTGTGTCTTCAGTATCTTACCTTCCTTGGCTACTGCTCGTCCTTCGACTTCTGAGAGCGCCAGATGTGAAAGTGAGAGTCTGCATCTACCTGTTCTATTTTAACTTCTATCCTTTCTCCTCCTCTCGCCCCAAGGTCTCAGTATTTGCCCCTGTTGTGTATTAGGCAATTTCCTATCCTCGTGTTCCTTGCATTGCCCGATTCTCTCTGTGCTGAGGGCCGTCTGTTATGTATTTCTTTCTGTTTTTTTTTCTTTCTTGACGACTGAGGCGACGAGTCCGTTATTTCGCCCAAGGCCTGTCTAAGGCACACTGAAATTTTCCCATAGTCTATATGGCGCAATGGCCGTGAGATGCATCCATGATTCCATGAAAGCCGTATTTATTACAAGTTAGGCTATGTCCTAATAAGACCTACGGGCGCCGTTTCGCTTTCTCTCTCTTAACAACTTCCTCATGGAGGGCAAGTGGTGCCGACCACGATCGCCATCGCGATGAGAGGACGGGGTCCGTCATCTCCTCCCTTGCCGCCTCCCTCCCCCCGTCTTCTCTCTCTCTCTCTCTCTGTGTCTCTCTCGTCTTGCAGAGTTTGCTTGTCCGCTGGAAGGCCAGCTGTTGATATATTTCTAGTGCTTGATGGCCAAAACGCGTGCTTAACCATGATTGGTCTCTGAGTCTCTCTGTCTCTATCTCTCTCTGTGTCTCTGAGTCTCCCCCTGCTTCCCGTTGTTTCTCACTGTGTCCTTTTTTTGCTCTGGGGGTGGGCGGTCTCTCCTCAGACGTTTGTCTAGGTTGTCCTGTCCTGGTCTCCCTCAATCGAGTGGTGTCTGGTGGGGGGCTGGTCTGGGAAGATGACGATCGCTCCCCGGATGCTATGGGGCGGCAATCCCAAGGGAGGGGGAGGCAGCGCCTGCAACTGCAAAGGAGGGGGTTTGGGAGCGGGGCCGAGGTCATTTGCGAGCTCGGGCAGTCTGCCGGATGAAGATCGGATGTCTCTATCTGGAGGAGAGGGGAAGCATCATCCTTCGGGATTTAGGCTGGCGCTTATGGTCTTGGTGACGATTCTTTCGTTCTATATTATCTCGAGCAATTTCTCTGCTCACTGCCAGAATGCAGTTGTAGCGCGGCCGTTGGATGCAGTCCACATTCCACCGCCACCTGGGTTTCATATGTATGAGCCTGTAGAGCTTGGGACTGGGCGAAGACTAGTGGGGCATCCAGCAGAGCAATCAGAAGGAGGCAGAGGGGGAAGGCAAGGAGAAGGGGGAGGAGGCATAGAAGCAGAAAGAATTGGGAGAGAGTCAGATAGAGGGGAGAGAGAAGAAAGGCAAGGAGAAAGAGAAGATAGAGGAGGAGGAGGAGGAGATAGAGAAAGTGGAGGGAGAAATGAGGAGGCAATAACGAAGACTGGGCGAGTTGTTAGATCGAGTAGAAAGCAGATGCACGAACCGGCAACTGTCTCGCCGGACCGCACATCGACCAGGACAGTCGAATTATTGATCCCGACACCGTCGATGCGTCCTTCTGATGATCGTTCGATCGCTGTGGGGTCACAGAGTGCTGATCAGGAACCTGTTATTGCGCCTACGCCGAATGACGCCACAGCTGCTGGCCGGTCTACTACCGGTAGTACCATTGTGTCCTCCAATAACCGAGGTCCTGTGTCGTCAGGAGGTCCTGAGGCGGGAGACAGAGGCGTGTTACAGATGGCAAAAGAGGGAGGAGGAGGAGAAGCTTCATCAAGACGAGGAGGGGAAGGAGTTTTGTCGCAAGCAGGAGCAGGACGAGGAGAAGAGGAAAGAACAGGGTTTCATATACCAATTACCTCGTTGGTAGCAAGAGCAGAAAGGGGAGGAGGAAGCTCTTTCTTGAAATCATCTGTGTCGGTTTCCTCACCGACGTACAGCTCCATGGCCATCGCTTCAGCGATAAGCCCCCCGGTCGCGTCAGAGAGAAGCCCGATCGCGTCGGAGAGAAGCCCGATCCCGTCGAAGAGACGTCCCATCCCGTCAACGAGACGTCCGGATCCGGATGGCTCCCCCCCACGATCATGGAGGAGGATGGGTAGGACTCATCGGCTGTCAAAGGCCGACAGACAATTGCTGAAGCTTGCTTCGGCGAAGATTGCCAACGAGAGTTCAATTCCGACGAATGAGAGAGGTAAGAACGGATCTGCTGGGAGCGGTGGAAGGAAAAAGATCGCCTTCATGTTCTTGGTACGTGGTCCCATGCCTCTGGCATCCGTTTGGGAACGGTTCCTGCGAGGACATGAAGGGTATTATTCCGTCTATATGCACGCTTGTCCCGGGTTCGCCTACGCGGCCAACGATTCGAAGCTGTTCTCTTCCAATTTGATTCCTAGTGAAAGCACAGCGTGGGGTTCTGTGCGATTGATCGATGCAGAGAGACGATTGTTAGCGCGAGCTCTGCTTGATCCTGATAATCATAGATTCGCTCTCGTCTCTGAGTCCTGTGTTCCCATTAGGGGCTTCAGGTTTATGTATTCCTATTTGTTCCGAGAGGAGATTAGCTATGTGAAGGCGCTCCCAGAGAAGACGCGATATCAGCCGGAAATGGCGCCAGTTGTCACGCGGCGCATGTGGCAGAAAGGCTCTCAGTGGCTGATTCTGACACGTAGGCATGCGGGTACGATCGTTAGCGATAAGTTGTTTTATCCTCTTTTTGCCTCCTACTGCATCGGTAGAGGACCACGTGGGGCCTGCTTCTCTGACGAACACTACATGCAAACGGTTCTTGTACACTTAGACAGGAGAAGGGTCTCCCGATGGACGACTACCTACCTGCGCTGGGGCTATAAACACGCGGCGCATCCGGTGTCGTATGGCGCTGCAGATGTGACCGAAGAGTTGCTGCAGAAAATACGTTCAGATCGGACCTGCAAGACGAGGAAAGGAAAGAGACCTGTTGTGTGCTACCTGTTCATGCGCAAATTTCGCAACGACACGGCGGACGTGCTGCATGCACTCGGGGATCGTCTCGGGATCTGGGAGGAGGAGGAAGGGATTGAAACTAGCGACCACGATCTTCAAGGATCTCCTCCCTCTCTTTCTATCGTCCAACCACGTGGCGCCACGTTTACCGGTTGACATGGCTGTGAACGACCACTGGAAGGTACACTCTGATTAGCGTTTTGCTTTTCAATTTGAAGGTAGCAGGGTTTGATCCGGTGACTTGCACCGCCTATGTGCCGTGTTTGACACTTTGGATCGAGCCTGCGAGAAGCGAGTTGTGAGATGACGGAGGGAAACGATCAAGCCTCTGAGGCTCTGACCACCACGAGGCAGGCTACCACGAGGCTCAGCCGCACGACGGATGGGCGGCGCCCCTTGTTTATCCCTTCTCTCTTTCGCCTTGTGCTGTTCTTCGCCTTTTAATCTGCTGAAGGTCTGATGGTGCTTCACAACTCTACTTCCTTTTCTGACACGAATTGACTTCTATTCCTTTCCAACCTTACACTTGGCTGCAGTTAACGTGACTTGATTGGTTGTGAGTCTTGTGACACGTCTGGAATAATTCAGCACGATTTGGCACCAGCTCACTCGGGATGAGTTGGGACCAGTTCAGTCTGGATGAGTTGGGACCGATTCATTCAGGATGAGTTGGGACCAGTTGACTTAGGATAAGTTGGGACCTGTTGACTCAGGATGAGTTGGGACCCGGACCGATTCACTCAGGATGAGTTCTGACCAGTTGACACGGGATCGGTTGGCTGGAGCGATTAATTTGCTCGCCGAACTGCAGGCTCTGGCATTATAAGATAGATCAAGAAGAGAGCAACGACAGGTAGGCCTGCGGAGGATGCTTGCTTTGCTTGTTTTTCGTGTTTGTGGCAGCTCTCTTGACAATTCCCCGAATCCACCCTCCTTATCCTAGCAATGACACGTGGACTGCTCTAGGCTCGCTAGTAGGCGCTATCCCGTTCATTTGTAGAATTCCTCTACCAGCAGGTTGGCGGTATGAAGACTTCACACACACACACACACACACACACACACACACACACATACACACACACACACACACACAGACAGAGAGAGAGAGAGAGAGAGAGAGAGAGAGAGGCTGAGTATCTTGGCTTTGTTTTCTATTCATCGTCCACTGCTTTTCTCCTCATGTACAGAGGCCAGTCTGAGGCGTCGGACCTCTTCTCAGGTGGTCAGCGATCATCTTCTTCTCCGCTGCATGTCGATCTTTCTCCACTGCTGATTGTAGGCAGTCTATTGGCCAATCTCTTGATAGATGGGTTACGCCGAGCAAAGCCAGGTCAGAGCCAATCAATCACAGGTGGACTAAGTGGGAATGTCCTTGAGGCTTGTGCTCTATGGGCGTGGGGTCTTTTTAATCCATTGATGATTGATCCTTCCTGAAGTTGACACCGTTGTCAGGACGACATGTGTTTGATGGACCACTTCATGTCATGGTTAGATCAGAGTTGTGCGGATCGATCTTCTTGTGCTGCCGTTTCGTTTGCCCGTCCAATTCCCTCTGTTGGGCTCATTTGGTCCAGTATGAAGGCTGATTGCTGGACGTAGAGGGAGAATAAGGATGATCGCCATTGCAATTCCTTCTGTTTGGCCCAAGGATAAAGGCTGATTGCGGGATCTAGAAGGAGAAGGAGAATGAGAAGAATCATCGTTGGAATTCCTTCTGTTGGGCTCAATTTTGTCCACGATAGAAGGCTGATTTTTGCTGGATCTAGGAGGAGGAGGAGGAGGAGGAGGAGGATCGTCGTTGTAATTCCTACTGTTGGGCTCAATTCGGTCCAGGACTCTAGGATAAAGGCTGATTGCCGGTTGTAGAGGCAGAATGAGGATGACCATCGGTGTGATTCCCTCTGCTGGGCTCAATTTGGTCCAGGACAAAGGCTTATTTGCTGGTTTTAGAGTGAGAATGAGGATGATTATCGTTGGAATTCCTTCTGTTGGGCTCGGTTTTGTCCACGATTGAAGGCTGTTTGACGGATCTAGAAGGAGAAGGAGGATCGTCGTTGTAATTCCTACTGTTGGGCTCAATTTCGTCCAGGATAAAGGGTGATTGCTGGTTTTAGAGGGAGAATGAGGATGATTATCGTTTGCAATTCCCTCTGTTGGGCTCAATTTGGTCCATGCCCCCAGGAAAAAGGCTGCGTGCTGGATGTAGAAAAAGAGGAGGATGAGGATGATTATCGTTGCGATTCCCTCTGTTGGGCTCAATTTGGTCCAGTTCCCCAGGATAAAGGCTGAGTGCTGGATCTAGAAAAAGAGGAGGATGAGGATGATTATCGTTGCAATTCCCTTTGTTGGGCTCCATAATCCCCTCAATTTGGTCCAGGTCCCCAGGATAAAGGCTGATTCCTGGATGTAGAAAGAGGAGGATGACCCTCCAGGATAAAGGCAATTCTGAGGTACTACAGTGTAGTGCGACGCAGTTGGACAATTCAAGTGCCAGGCTGCGTGGCGTGGCGGTTAACTAGGTACGCACGAGTCTGAGCAAATGTTGATTGATCTACATGTACTCGTCATTCGAATTGTCGGAGGAGGGAAGGGAGTAACACAACACCATTTATGATTTATTTGTAAAAAAATACCAACTTGAAAAATAGCTCACGTTTATTGATTATGAGTCAATGGAACGTTTTCACTCCGTTGGTCAGTTGTGTGGAATTGTAGAGCCAATTCGGGGCTTTCGAGTAGCGTGACCATTTTTCTCGATCGGCCAGTTTGTCCAAGATAGTAGGTCCTCCTGAGGCTTCATCGGGCGTACCCGGATACCCGGATAACTGCGATGCGACGTTTGTGCAGGGATTTTTTTTCGTGCGTACACTGTCGTCCTGCTACGAGTACGCCCTAAATCTGGAAGGCGATCACGAGAGCTCCCAACATCTTTCCGTATGGTCTTGTCGTGCAGTGTTCTTGAAGAATTTGCTGCGTTTTCGTAACATTGTGCCTTCACAGTCGATTGAGATTCTTAGAGGATCAGAATGCTGCAGAACACGGTTGTCATAAATAGCGAATTCAGCCAGTGCCGAGGGCGAAGGAGAATTTCATTCATTTGCGCAAATGCGAACTGCATTGCATTGCATCCCTCTCTCTCTCTCTCTCTCTCTCTCTCTCTCT